CTTCTTGGAGTAATGTCCCTTCTGGTGTGCCCCAGGGTAGTGTAATTGGACCGCTACTTTTTAATCTATTTGTCAACAATGTTATCTCTGATGTTTCCTCCGATCTTTTTCTTTTTGCTGACGATATGTTACTGTTTCGTACAATTCGTTCACACGATGATGAAATGCAATTGCAACATGACTTAGACTCACTCCATCAATGGACAATTACAAATGGCATGTCATTCAATCCATCCAAAACGAAAGTGATGCATATAACTAGGAAGCGGAACATCCAAAATGCCGTCTATACCCTGGGTGACACACTGCTTTCTTCTGTCACTTCTTACAAATATCTTGGTATTGTAATAGGTTCAAACCTCTCTTGGAACATTCAGGTTGATGCAATTACTGCACGCGCGAGTCGTCTTCTTGGGTTTATAAGAGTTGTAGCCCGTGGTTCGTCCACCTCTGCTATATTTGCCCTCTACAAGGCCTTGGTACTGCCAATACTTGAATATGGCATCCCTGCATGGCATCCCAATACCCTAAAACAAACACAACAATTAGAAAGAATCCAACGTATAGCAACGCGCGTTGCTCTTAAACAGAGAAGAGGAGAAATGCCGTATGAAGAAAGGTTAAGGGTTCTCAACTGGTCTACCTTGTCAGCTCGTAGAGATTATCTTTTATGTTCATTTACCTTCAAATGTCTGTACTTTTGTTGTGACTGTGAAACACTAATAGAAAACATAGCCATTAGCAAGAGACGCCTCTTTACACTGTCCTTCATTCATCAGCAATCACGAACACAGGCCCTGTTCCTGTCCGCTTCCCGGAGATTTCCTCGGGTATGGGATGAATTACCGTTAGAGGTTAGGGATGCATCGGTGGTCTCCTCACTTTCATCCTTTCTACTCTCTATGAAGCGGTCCCTTCTCGATTCTAACTAATTTTCAAACTGAGAGGGGCTTCCTCACTGAGAGTGGGGGATTCCTCCTTTTCTTTAATAATCATTGTTTATCAATATCCAAGAACTTATTGAAACACTGGATTCAGAATGTTACTTGTTTAATTTTTTTTTTTTTTTTTTCTTTCAATGATACAATGATTATATTAATTGAACCTGGAACAATGGTCCACATTGATAGCTTCATATCCACATTATGCCACTCTTCTTAAATGATAACACCATAGGCCCTACTCAATATTTTGTGAATGATTATCAATCCTAATGCTTATTGCACCTTTAATTTCTGCAAAAATTGTACATTTTTGTGGTACATGACGTTTTATAATTTCCTTGATTGTATAGCCCAAAACAATATTTACGCTCTATTCATATGTATATTTTTGTTATATACAAGAAATTGCTGGTCAGATTTACCTTGAACAGTTACACATCTCTTCTTTTTTCTTTTTAATTAGAATTTCTTTGAATGAGACACCGTTGGATCAATTGAATAATGACGATTTATGTTAATTGTGTTCTGGTTATTTTAAGTTTTAAGTTTTTTCTGCATACAAATCTTAAAGCACTCTATTCATTGCAGCTTCATATCCTCAATGCATTTATCGAAATTTAATTTAATCATGATTTTCTGAATGATTGTTTGTAATTATTTTGTATACTTATATAATGTGAACCTTGCAATATATTTTATTATGTCTCGGAATGGCATGTGAGGGTGCACATGCCCCCGGGCAACAGGGAAGAATTTCGCTTTTGTGCACCCTGACCCACATGCTATTCCTTCTTTATCTTACTTTGTATTTTTCCTATTTCACTCTGTATACACCTATATACACTGTACATGCTGAATGTGTTTTTATGGTCGAATAAATAATAATAATAATAATAATAATAATAATGACACCTCAATCAGCAAAAATGAGCCAGGAATAAAAAAAAAAGTTCTGTTTAATAATGCTAAATATATTACTCATTGCCGTTGTAATTTGATTATTATAATATTTTTGAGGGTTCTGTTTATTTAAAGTAATGCTTGCATTCCCATAATTTGATGAAACAAATTTGTTTCACTAAATAATGGAAATGCAAGCATTACTTTAAACAAACAGAACTAAAATTAGAATAGTTGAAATTGGACAAAAATTGGGGGGTACATTTAGCTTGCAAAAATGAAATCCTCAAGTATGCCATGTGTTGTAATGCCCCCCTCCTGAAGTTTTGTGATAAATTCAGGGTACACAAATGTTTGCTACATGGATTCATGACGCTGAAAATCTACGTTCATGACACCGAAAATATATACTATCAAGTCCCTGCATCAACATAGTCTTACACATGTAATAGCAACACTAATCAGGACATTTTATCAAAACCCGAAAATTGCTATAAAAAGATCCTTTTGAAAAGACTTCTAGCCCCTAAACCCAACAAACACAGCATAAAGCGCTTCTTCAATGTAGAAGGCTAGTAAGAGGACATTTTTTGAGAAATTTGATTACTGAATTGAGAAGTTCAAATGGCCTTTATTCCCTGCTTTCTCCTCCTATATATTCTAACAAGGCTATGAAATAAACTTTCCTCTAGATACCTGAAATAGTAGTGCTTAATATTAAGTTTCTATTTAAGTACACAAGTACTTAACATTGTCATTTAATATTGATACTCTGGGCATTAGATTCAATGGCTGATTCAAGTGCACACATATGCCACTTCAACCACAGCAACTTTTGCTCAGGGTACCCATTTAACATCTGGATGGAGAATGGCGAATGTAGATTAACATCTTAAAAAATCTATGACATTAGGAACACTTCACATGGTTTCTCTCCTGTATGTGTTCTACGGTGGCTAGTACTCTCAATCTTTTGAGTAAATCCTTTATCACAAAAGGGACATCGGTAAGGCTTTTCCTGAACATACATGCTTTGCTACATGTAGATTGCTTTGACAAGAAAATCCCTTGTCACAATAGGAGCATATAAGGCATTTCACCACTGGGTGTTTTTAAATGGCTATAATAAGGGTTCTTCTTTTAGAAAAAAACCCTTATCACACTGAGAACACCTAAAGGGTTTCTTTTCTGTATGTGTTCTAAGGTAGCTACTAGCTAGTAAGATCACCTATACAATCAGAGAACTTGAAGCAGAGTCCTTTATTACATTTGATACATTTATATGGCAGTTTTCCTGTTTGTTATTAGGCGATTAGGAAGATCTAACACTGTTTTTACAATAAAATCCCTTTTTCTTACAAAGTAAACATTTAAATGGCTTTTCTCCAGTATTCTCAGATGACTAGAAAGATTACTGTTACAAGAAAATTTCTTAATACAATCTTAACAGTTAATATAGGGTTTTTGTGTGTTCGTAGATGCCTTGTAAGCTTACTTTTATACGAAAATGTCTAATTACATTAGGAACACATAACAGGTTTCTCTCCAGTATGTCTTTTAAGGCGGCTAGCAACATCCCTTTTATGAGAAAATTTCTCTTTACAATAAGCACATTTATAAGGCTCTTTAGTATGTTGTCTAATATGATAGGTTAAATGACCTCGTAGAGAAAAACCTCTATCACATTGGGAACATTTAAAAGGCTTTCACCACTGTGTGTTCTAAATGGTTAAAATACAATACTTTTAAGAGAAAATCCATTATGACACTAGGAACACTTTAAGCATTTCTCTCCTATATCTGTTCTAATGTGGTTATCAAGCACGTTCTTTTGAATAAATCCTTTGTCTCAAAAGGGACATTGAAGAGGCTTTTCTCACTGTGCTTTCTTGAATGGGTAGTAAGATTACTTTTAAAAGAATAAACCTTATCACAATGGAAACATTTATAAGGCTTTTCTCCACTATGTGTTCATAAATGAATAATAAGAGCTCCTTTCTGAGAAACACCCTTATCACACTGGGAACACTAAAAGGGTTTCTCTCCTGTATAAGTTCTAAGGTGGACAGTAAGGTCATTCATTTGAGAAAATCCTTTACAACAGTAGGAACACTTAAGGGTTTCTCTCCTGTACGTGTTTTAAGGTGCCTAGTAAGCGAGTCTTCTCAGGAAATCCTTTACCACACTAGGAACACTTAAAGGGTTTCTCTCCTGTATGTGTTTGAAGGTGCCAAAACCAAAACAGAAGAAATTTTTCAAATTCAAGTTTCATTGTAATCCATTAACAGGTTCTCAGAATATCGTGATTACAAGCAATTTCTCATATACATATATGACCCTTTGATCTTTGACCTCATGACCCTAAATCTACTCAGTTCATTGGCTCTGCAAGATGTCCTGAGTTAAATAGTAATCCATCTGTCAGTTCTAATGAGAATGCGTTCACAAGGTATTTTTGCATACATAATGAGCCCATGACATTTAACCTTTGACCTCATGACCCAAGAATCTACTCGGTTCATTGGCTCTGCAAGATACATACATGATTTAAGTTTGGCAGGAATCCATTAATCTGTTCTAATGATAATGCAATCACAAGCTATTTTTGCATACATAATGAGCCGCATGACCTTTGACCTTGACCTCGTGACCCCAAAATCTAATTAGTTCATTGGCTCTGCAAGATACATACATGACCAAAGTTTGGCAGGAATCCATAAATCAATTCTTGAGATAACGCGATCACGAGAACTGGACGGACGGACGGACGTACAGACGGACGGACGGACAACCCGAAAACATAATGCCTCCGGCTACTTCGTGATGAGGCATAAAATATGTTTCTATACAAGCACTGTATGAAACAAATCTATACTGTCATCAATAACTAAGAAAATGAAAGCTCATGAATTTTCTGTAGAGAGAAAATTGGAGAGGAGCCTGGAAGATACGTGACAGTGTTGCATATTTGTGTTTCAATGATTGTCAGCTTTCAAAAATCATAAATTTTCTATTTTTACCGGTAATCGGATTTTGCTCACTTTCAATAATTTGTTTCTCTCATTTTCTACTATCATTAAAACCACTTAAATATCAGGATGGACTTCCCCTTTAGGGATTTGATATGCCTTAGAGATGAAAGAACGTTGATCATACCTTCAGGAATTGATTGCTCAATTTCTTTTCCTCCTTCACCTCCAGTTGTAATAGGTTCAAATATCTCTTCCTCATCTTCTTGCTTTATGGTGGTATAGACCATTTCTATGAGAAAGGGAAATCATGAAGAAATGTTCAACATCTTTCTATTCAATAGCTGTGCATGTGCTAATTATTAACTCCAGCTACAGCAGGGCCTGTGCAGCTCAGTGCCAGGGTCGCTCCGGGAGCTATTGTTGCACGCTTTGTTGCCTTCTCTACAACTTACGAACGCTTGTTCACAACTGTGACCATACTTTGAACCCTTAACTCCAGAGTGAAGATACCTTACTAGTACACACCAAAAATCATATAAGTCTTCCACAATTGTTCAAATTTAAACAGGCATGATTTAAAATTTGATAGCGCCCACACCCCACTGTTGGTATGCACTTGTATTGAGCAGCAGTTTGCCGTGAAACCTGTGAGAAAGTGTATACTAATGTCTTCATTTTTAGGAAAAATACCCCCAAAATGAAAAGAAAATGGTAAGAAAGATAAAGACATCATGTCCATTTAATACCGGTAGCTTGATTTCCTCGCCTACAGCCGCAATTTTTATCTCAAGATTCTGCTTCAAAAAGTTGTGTGTATTTACAATGCATTACAATAAACATTATAATATAAGCAGCTAGCTAGCTTTGTGGCGCGGCTAGCTGTGTCTCGCATGTGACTTCACAAATCTGGACGCTCTACGGAAGACCGCTGAAGGAAGAAAAGATGGATCTCAAAATTAACATTTTGATTGCTTCGGGCCCCAAACATCTTTTGAAGAGGGAAGTTGTTATATTTGATCAGTAAGGAAGGATTCCCCTTCGCAATGATATAAATTTGGATCTATTAAAAACACTTTTGATTCTTAGGGCGAGTCCTAATTCAGAAACAGATTAATGTTCATTCCCAACCAAAATCAGTCAATAATATGAGGTACAAAATTTGTTTGAAATGCTTCGAAATAAGGATCACATTGCACCAGAGTGCATCAATGAACCCTATAGCCCTCAAGCTAACCCTAGAGCCCAGCCATATTGGACTTCATGCATTGCATGCATCAGTACATACTACTTTCATGTTCCAATTTTACATTTTGTTTTATTTTTTGTTTGTTGTTGACCACCCTGAGCGCCATTGTACAATAGCATTCTCTTCATAACTCCATTATATCATACCTTGTTCAGTCGATGGGTCTTGTCCTTCTGTACTTGAGAGGGATTCAAACATGTCTGTGTCAACTTCTTGTTTGATGGTGAAGACCAGACCTGTTATGAACAAAGTAAAGACATTTTCATATTATCTGAGAACCAAAATTTGATCTGGTTACCTATTATTGGCTACAAAAATACTGAATTTTATAACCAAATAAAATATGATATGCCCATAACTCACAAGAATGAATGTGGTTGCATGCAATGGAGGGAAAAGAGCATGAAAGACATCTATAGATGTAAGCAATTAGATCTATAATATAGATATTTTCATTTTTTGATTGGACTTTGCAAGCAGGAGTGTGCCCCAAAGATGCATCCTCCCTATTCACAAAATTATTTCATTTTTTCTGGATGGCTCAATCAATTTAAGGTTTGATTTTCATTTTATGAGATATTCAACCCTGATAGCAAACAATTCTAAAAGAAAGCAGAAATATCTTAGAAGCAGACGTGTGAAAGTTTGGGCACTTCAAATTGGCTGAATCTGTAAAGTCACTATGACGAACTGCTTGAAATATTGCCCGTTTGTTTCAACACACAAAATGACTAAAACATCAATTTTTCAAAATCTATGACCCAGGAGTGTCTTTTCTTTTTAGAGAACCTTTAATAATAAATTATACACAATATATTTTAGAGAAAAACTGAAATATATGGTATTTTTGTGAACGACAAACGGGGGAGTTATCTGCGACTACGTCACAATCCAGTAACCAAATCGCTGAATTTGAGATTTGCATTAGTGACATCTTTTTTTAAAGATTCAGCGCACATTTGTTCTAACTTTGTTCTAACTTTCACCAAACCACTTAATTTGTTGCTTTGCTATCAACGTTTAATTTTCCTTCAAGAACCTTTAGCATACCATCATGGATTACAAGCTGACCCTCATCTATCAATGTATGATTTTCCTTTAAGAACCTATAGCATACCGTCTTCAGTTACAAGCTGACCCTCATATCTCAATCCATCTGAACCTGGAATGGAAAGACACGTCTCCTTCTCAACTTCTCCTTCCTCCTTGATGCAGATGCTTCCTGTTTCATGTAAAAAATAAATATCATTACAATTCTTGATCACTTTAGATTTATCATTTCTCTAATACAGAGTGAAGTAGATACATGTTATTCAAGAATATCCACAAAAAATAAAATTATATTCATGTATCACTGTATGCATCTTTTTAGAGGTTGCATTGGTGCAAATGAACATTCTTGATTCTCAGCCAGTGGATTGACTTGTTTTGAATAAATCTTACTTATTTTTTGTTCTCCATAACTTGATGTGTGCTGCCAAGTTTAATTATTTTTAAATATCACTTGAAACATAAAGTTCTACTCCAGTATGAAAATGCTTAAGGTCATCATGATAGAGACCAAGTGCCTCTTATACACAAAGATTTACGGTACAGCAGAACACATTGAAACACTCCATACCTTCATCATGTCCATGTGATGTCTGAAGAGTTCCTTCTCCTTCTCCATCTGTACTTGAGAGAGACGTCCAACAATCGATTCCTTGCTTCATCGCCATATTATCTGTAAAACAATATGGGACAATACTTGATAATAAGTTTTGCCTTCTCATGAAATAATCACTGTAACGAGAGTGTACTAACACACTTGCGTGTAAAGTCTTTGGGGAGGTGGAATCCCCCATAAGCATCACATGAAATAAACCCCTACATACATAGTGAATAAGCAGTGGCTTATTTCACAACATGCCATAGTCTGAATGATTTCCCAGTTTTCCCCTTTGGATCGTTTTTCACCATTATGGTAGGAGAATCAAGAAAAAAACATTTACTCAGAATAATACATTTCAAATTTCAAGACTCACCGATGTTTCTATCAGAAGATACATCCCCCCAAAATCCAGTCAATATTCATCCAATTTGTGTAAGAATCGATGAAAAAGACATACACCCAGAGTTACCGTAAATCTCCGTGTATAAGGCACACCTGTGTATAAGGCGCACCCCTATTTTGGGGGCAAAAAACCCCCCAAAAAACAACCTTTTTTGTGGTTTTGTTGATGTTGTTTTGTTGCCGAAAACCCACGCGGGGAAGGACCTTCATTTTACATCGAGGTGCAGTTGAAGTTGTGGACTTGTCACAAATAATAGTAACAACAGTCTAAGGCTTCATGATACCAAGTGTCTCACACCAGCCTCATCACATCACCTAGCAGAAGCACTGTGTTCTATGCCAAACATCAATAAGGCCGCACCACCGCATAGGCCGCACCCCAACTTTGACATTTCAAAGAGGGAAAAAAAAAAAACGGACAAAACAAAATAATCATAATTTTCTCATAAAACACTATTTTTTTTTACAAACTGATACCAAATTCATCAATATTCTTATAATTTGCCGGAAATTTAGCTGAAAAAGTGATCGCAGGCAGATTTGGTGTCCGATATACCCCTACCACAATGTACGGTGTAATACGAAATGGCATGAAATGGAAAAACAAAATGACGACTTCGGATGGATGCTTCGCGGCAGGTCCGGTAAACAGTCCCTTCCTTCACTTTTGCAATGCATTGGCACAAACTTAGATCAAGATATATATATATCGGCAAATGTTGTTTTAGGAAGTTATTTTCATCTTCATGTCAACAATGCAAGATAAAATTGTCGGTAAGATGTTTGAAAATGTCCTGTACCATAGTGGTATAGTTATTTTACCGGCGTAGTCCCATATGGGCAAATTCGTGCTGGTTTTGACTTGGTTTTTTTTTTCTTTTCTCTCTTTCGTCGTAAAGGCCGCACCCCGACTTTTTGATATTTTCTCTTCCAAAAATACTGCGGCCTTTACGCCGGCAAATACGGTAGCATCCTCTAAATTTCTGACAATGGAGTACCTAGGATAGAACCTTGTGGTACACCATTTGTTATAGAAAAAAAAATTGAGGAATTATTATTATAAACTAGACTACATATTGAGATCTATTAGAAAGATTACTTTCAAACCAAGATGACAGACAAATTTGAGTGTTGTTGTTGTTTCCGAGTGGTGAGTCAACACACTGATTACTGAGCTAGGAGACATTGCCAGGCATAGCGCCATAAATTGAGACTTAAAAAAAAAACCTTTTTTTTTCTGTACATGTGTATAAGACGCACCCCCGACTTTCAATTTTTTTCGGCGGCAAAAAAGTGCGCCTTATACACAGAGATTTACGGTATTTTATTTTGCTAAACAGCTGCATTACGCGATATCAAGCGTACGTGTATGTGTTGCTAAGATGCAACGCTGTCTGAGCGCGATCGCAAGCTCCACCTCCGTTTCCTTCATTGTGCCATCCGTATGTGGGTCCGTTCCCCGAATACACAATACGCACAAAGATTGTTTTGCGCCACTGAGCTACCGAGCATAAAATACATACCGGTACGCATATGTGCAGATTCTACACGCTGTCACCGGTTTTCATCGAAAGGGTGCGGCGCGGCGCGGTGTGCTCAACGCACCCATGCGATATAAGAGGGGGGGCTTTTCTCGAAAGGGTGCGTTGAGAGCGGAGTACCGTTTTAACACACCCTTTCGATAAAAGCGGGGGGGCTTTTCTCGAAAGGGTGCGTCGACTAGTCTTTCGCATCAGTCGTTTAAAATGAGGATCTGGGACAGAAGGTAATAGTTGCCAATTTAAGTATATCGAAAATGTATTAAATAAAATGGAATGGTCTTGATTACAGAGTGGTCTCTTTCGTTATTACTATGTTGATGGGGGAGACAGAGAGAAGAAAAAAAGGGAAAGGGAAAGGGAAGATAAAAGGAAAGAAAGAAGAATAAGAAGAAAAGAGGGAAACGGGGGGGGGGGGGTTTCCTTCTTATTCCTCTTCTTTCTTTCCCTCTCCCTTCTCTCTCTCTTACTTATTTTTTTGGCGGGGGGGGGGGGGGATGAGGAGGAGGCAAGAGCCCTTCGCCCCCCCCCCCCCCCCCCGTTTCCCTCTTTTCTTCTTATTCTTCTTTCTTTCCTTTTATCTTCCCTTTCCCTTTCCCTTTTTTCCTTCTCTCTGTCTCCCCCATCAACATAGTAATAACGAAAGAGACCACTCTGTAATCAAGATCATTCCATTTTATTTAATACATTTTCGATATACTTAAATTGGCAACTATTCCCTTCTGTCCCAGATCCTCATTTTAAACGACTGATGCGAAAGACTAGTCGACGCACCCTTTCGAGAAAACCCCCCCCCCCCCGCTTTTATCGAAAGGGTGTGTTAAAACGATACTCCGCTCTCAACGCACCCTTTCGAGAAAAGCCCCCCCCCTCTTTTATCGAATGGGTGCGTTGAGCACACCACACCGCGCCGCACCCTTTTGATGAAAGCCGCTGTCACCATGGGTTTGGGCTGAGCGGAGTTACGCCTCTCTACTTAGCTGGTCCAAAAAGTTGGGGAAAAGGTATTTTCAAACTGTAATGGTGTGTTCCCTTGGGACTAGCAAAAAATGAGAAGATATTCCTTACAACTGGGAATACTTATCGCGTGGGGCGTCATTTCTCAAAAGTGGCAAATATCGGAGCTACCATGGAAACAAAATTTAAATCGCTGTCTTGACCAGATTCTGAGATGACGCCCCTTTGGAAATGTGGAGAAAACTGATCTTTCAAAGGACACCTCATTTATTGAGTACCACCTTCAGGATCACGAGCAATAAAGGTTTGAATCTCGATTTGGTAATAAAAACATGACCAATTTTGCATGATCGCCCAATGCACGTAGACTGCATTGTAGGCCTGAGCTTCGGTGGGTCATATTTAAACTTCCATTTCTGAACGCACTCGGTACCACGAAACGTGATTCTTGCAGCCTCAATTTTAGAGCGATAAAAACACCTAGATCTAGGCTAACTGAAACGATATCTATTCATTTCTAAAGCATATTTGTTTAGTTAAATTGAGATATAAGTTTTTAATTGCATATTTTGAGTTCTTTTTTTCAAAATATCAGTGTGAAATTTAATTTTGAAAATCCTGAAACTCGAATATTCAAACCCGGCTTCCGGCGCGGCGGTCGGGGACAGAAGAGCAAAAACAATGGCGTTCTCAACCAATTCTCGCTACCCTAAATAGGTACGAAAATCTCGAAATTCGCGAGACGAGGTAATTTTCACTCTCTCGGGTCGTCACTACAACTTCCGGTATAGAGTCCCATCCCGCTGGCGCTAGCGCCTGTGTTCGCTGTGCAGAGTTTTCACGCACGCTAAAATCGATGCCAATCAGTGTAATTTGTACAGATTATAATATGCAATGGAAAGCTTCGGGCAGAATTAGTGACTTTAGCACAAAAGGCCGTTAAACTCTACCGTGAAAGAGAGGGTTGTGATCACGAACGCCTGCACAGGAAGCTGTAATGTCGAAAAGCTATCCCATAATGCAATGCGCGTTTTCAGGATTTTCCCCGGATCTCGGCAGAATCGCTATTTGGGGTAGCGAGAATTATCAACGGGCCGCTGGCTCGATGTGCATGTGAGCCGCGGGCTGGACGGGGAGTTTTATGGCGTGGTATCGTACGCATCCAAAATTTGGGGTTTAACTCCCCCATCATCATTACCATTTAATCTATATCATATTAACCACCCAGTTTTACTTCAATACGCATTAGCATTGACTCTCTATTGCTGGAGTACCAAATCCATAACTCTAGGCCATGGCAGCTCAGCCCCGACGCCATCGCGTCGGCATCGGCGTCGGAGCTCTCTGGATCTCGAGTTACCAAATCCAAAGAAGTTGGCTTTGGTTGTTGTAGCTCAATATGGGCATAATATGGATCTCTCCAGGAGTGGATAATGATAAAATTACTGATACTGAGGCTGAATAAAGTACGTTTTATATGCACTTACCTGCTTTCTCTAGGCATTCTTGTTTATATTTTAAAGGAAATAGTCTACGTAGATCTACGTCCTGAAATTCACGAAGAAAGACGTCCTCGGCCTGGTTCATGTAACGCGCGATTAGTCTACTTTACAGACGTAAGAAATTCTATGATAAAGGAAAAAACCACATTATACATTTCTATCACCAGTTTAA